TAAATGTGATTTGTGATATTGCCTAAGTTGCAATAATTAATGTATTTGTGCCTATTGGAATTCGTTAAAAATATTAATTCTTTTGACCTGTCAAAATTTTGTTTATGATTAAAGTTAAATTTAATATGTCGCTTTTTCATTCTGATCTATTATGTTTTGAGGACGTGTTAGTATCCGAACTAATATGTTGAGCAAACCAAATAAATATAAATTATAAATTTATTCATCTAATACTTTCCATAGATATGGATAATTGACATTTCACTTTTTTTAGTTTACAACTATCAAAATTTATTTAAATCTATAAACATTATATATTTCTATTATTTTGAATATAGCATTTTGCCTAATTTGGATATAACTGTTGTATATATTATATTATATCTGTCCCTTTTTCAATTAGTAAAAATAATATATTTTTAGAATTGTCATTTTTTTTTTCAAAAATCATAAATCGTTTTTTCTCGAAGTTTCCATAAATATTGACATTTGTCATTTTAGTGTTTTGTTTTTTTTAGTGAATTTCTGTCAAAATTTATGGAAATTTATAAATAATATAAAACTAAATAAATATTTCCTTCTTGGTCGAAATTTAATATAATATGATATAATATATTTTTCAATAATGTTTTGTATCTACAATATTACCTATAACAAAACTTGGAATAATTAATGTATTTGTTTTTTATTGAAGTCGTTAAAAATTCAATTTTTCTGAACTGTCAAAATTTTGTTTATTATTAATGATTAATTTAATATGTCGTTTTTTTATTGTGATCTATAATGTTTTGAGTGGTTTTGAGGAAGTTTTGGTATCCGAACTAACTTCGTAAGCAAATCAAATAAATATAAATTATAAATCTATTTATCTAATAATTTTTATAAATATTGACAAATGTCATTTCACATTTTTTTAATAACTTTTATTTAAATTTATGAACATTGATTTTTAATTAGATTTAAAATTATAAACAGTGATTTTGAATGTAGCTTTTCATCTAATTTGGATATAAATGTTGGATATATCTATATATGTATATGTTTTTGAACTGTCAATTTTTTTTTTCAAAAATCATTAATCTTTTGTTCTCGAATTTTCCATAAATTTTGACATTTGTCATTTTAGTGTTTTGTTTTTTTTTTTGGTCATTTTCTGTCAAAATTTTAGAAATTTATAGAAATTATATATTTATATTTCAAATTTACTGTTCAAAATTTCCTATAACCTAAGTTGGATATATATGCACACGATGAGCCAATAAAATTTAAAATCGGTCCAGTAGTTTGGGCGTCCATCGCGAACCAACATCGTGACACGAGATTTATATATATATATAGATATATATATATATATGTTGAAAATGTTTAAATTTGATGTTGAAATGTATGATAGATTTCTTGGAGGGCGTAACATCAAGTAAAAAAAGTAAAGTAAAGATTTTCTTCAAGACATCTTTATATTTCCATACGTTTCGACGTAAAATTCTACGTCATCTTACACAAAATTCCTATCCCCCACATCTTATAAAATCCGTCACAAACAATAGACTCACTTTTTTAAAAAACAAAATAACTAACCCCAACCTAAGTTTAATTTCCACAAAAGATAATAATTTTGAAGGTACCATTTAATATTGTTTTCAATCATTTTTAACTTCTCAATTCTTAACTTTGGCCTTTATATGTTTTATTTAGGTAGAATTAGAATGTTCTGAAAAATTTTTTTTTTATCATGCTTACAATTGTAAGTATGATAAAAAAAAATTTTCAGACATACTGTTGATGAACAAATATGATGTTGTATGCGAGTGGACTTACTTGACATATACAATTTATTTATATAATCAGTTAATATTGCCGTTGTTCCGAGACTATTTTCTTAAAGTAAAATAACAATATAAAGAAAATATTAGAAGTACCTTCCTCAGGACCTCGCTAGCATTACCTTCGTGCTGCGTATGGCCCCAGCCAGTTGCTATAGCTTTTTATTAGTAATTTCATTATTTTTTGGCAAACAGATTGGTATTACTTGCTTGTTTAAGTTCACTCTGAATATAAAAATAGAAAATAAAATAGTCATTTTTATTCAGGTTATGATGATAAAACTACCAAATTAATTCAAGGTTTTATTGATTGCTATGTGGTGCTAATTCAAAATGCATTTTAAACTTACATTCTATTCAATTTCAATAATCCTACATCATAATATTTAGAATTGGGCTTATATTCTGGATGCCTCAATCTTTCTGAAACGGTGAAGAGTTGAGAGTATTCGAAATTTTTGGGTGTGCCTGAATCAAAATCTGTAACACCCAACTGCACGAAATTCACAGAACCTCTGAAAAGTAGTTTTCGTTAAACGAGAACGAAAAAATAATATTATGCTCAACTTACAAATTTTTGTCATAAACACAATGAGCTGCCGTTAAGACAAAGTTATCACTGATCAAAGAACCTCCGCATGCCCAAATTATATTGTCTTCTTGGCCATAACCAAGACGCGCCTGTAATGAATCAGTACAACTTAACATTCTTACAAATTATTGATTGTACATATATTTAATATATTGTTCATGGATATAAATATACCATGTGCGGAAATTCGCGGTTCTGAGCTTTTTTCCGCCTACTATAAAAGGTACTACCGTGTGTCCACATCGGTTCACGAGGACCTTTTTTGCAGAATTTGTTAGAGTGGGTAGAGTGATTTTTTCGCAAACTAAATGCGAATATTCTATACATTCTGAAAAGTTAAAAATGTAATGTTCTTACGGTACCAAATAAATAGATTATATGACATTTATATTTTTAGAATTTATTTCTATTTTTGAAATTGTTTGTCTTAACTGTTTTCCGCTTTGTCTTCGCCACTACCAAGAGGTCTAAGATTTTTGCAAGGATTTTCTTTTTTCTCTGAATTTGGTTGTGTTTCTGGTGCATCTTCCGATGTTGGGCAACATACTAAATGGCTTAGTTCACCAGGGCAGAAAGTTGGACTCGAACCAGATACAATCAGACTTTGAATAGCGGGACAAGAAGACAAATTCGAACAATCACCATGTCGATTATCATTAGTTGTGCATGTTTTGCCTTAAGAAATCAGTCTATTTAGTTTTTTTCTATTGCAAGTTTAAATTAATTCGAGAAATAATATTGATTAAAGTCTTTATATATATATATATATATATATATATATAAACGAGAGAAAATAGTGGCCATTTCTTTATGATAAAGCCTCAAAGTTTAAAAAAAAAATAGTTGGAGGAAGCAAAGCTATACACCTAATAAAGAAATAATAATAATTCAAACCTAAGAATAGCTATAATAATAAGCATCTACACATTATTCTTTCAAACAAAGTTAACATTGAAACTGATGATATTTATTTAGGGTTCATATGAAATAAAATTATATGCAACTAGTAGAAAAAATATACAAATGTAATTTTATATTCTCTCGAATATAACAAATTCAAAACAAATTAAATGTAACCTTATTATTATAGATTTTTACATAATTTTTTTCTGTGTAATTTGAAATTTATTTTATTTTTTATTATACATTCTTGCACTTATGTAAATTATAAATTTTATTGTTGTTAAGCAAGTAGACACCTATAAATTTTATTTGCTTTTTTAGTTATGAATGCCCAAATTGCAGTGAATGCACAAATATATTCAGCTCAGGTGGAGGTGCAGCTCTCGCTGAATTAGCATCAGCTCCTTTTTTGGGCACCTTGCCTATTGGGCCAAGATTATCTTTTGAAGAAAATAGAGGAAAATCTGTACTTTCATGCTTGCCCGATTCTATATCATGTAAAGCATTTTCAAGTATAGTACAGAAACTTACCAATTAAATCATTTGTATTTTTTTAAAGTTGTAAGTAATTTTTATAATACACTTTTGATTTATTCTTCATCAAAATATTTTGCTATATTCTGTGCTAGTTCTAAATCCCAAGGTGTATCAATTTCTAAACTATATTTTGCTGGAATTTCTACCACAGAGCAACTGAATTTTTATTATTAGAGGAAAAAAGAATGATTATTAAAATTATTATATCATCATCATCAAATTTCATCATCTTTTTTTTTTATTACCTATCATCTTGTAGAAGGTTCTTTTCAATCAATTTGCGTGAGGCTAAATAAAACATTCCGTTCTCTATTAATTCTCCATTCCAATTTTGACGTCTAGGTCTACTCTCTGGATTAAAATTTTCTGAAGTTATTTTATTACCTTCCTCCTTCCATCGCAATTTAAAAGACCTAATACAAATATTCATATTATTTTCATATTGATGGAAAATTCTTACTCATTTTGAAAATTATTTATTTAATTATTATGCATTTTAATTGCAGTGAGAACAGATAGCAATAACCCGTTGCTATTGAAAATAAATTAATATGTTTATAAAAATACATTTATACTTTAACTCTGTACCTAGTAACACTGAAAACACACTGGGTATTGGTACTTGAAAAAGTTAATTGAGATATTGCTTCTAAAATATAATCTGTCTTGAGAAAGGGTGTAGTACATTGCACTAACATTAAATAATCTACATTTAAATGATGCTTTATAAATTCTTGTATTGCAGATATAGAAGTAGATGCATCAGTTGCATATTCTGGATCTCTCCAAAACACTTGTGCACCTGCTGCAATTAAGTATGTTTGGAACACAATATTAATCTAATATAATTTATGCAGTTATAAGAATAATTATTGGCATAGGGATTTGGATAATTATTTTATTTAGCTAATCTTTTAAATCTTTGTTCAATTTCACAATTTAAGAATAATTAATTAGCAAACCTTCATTGGCTTCTTTAGCAATCAATGATGGTCAGTTGAAACCCATATTGCTTGGATTTTTCCCTCTTCAAGCAATGGTGTAATTTTTTGGACGCTTCGTCTAATGAGTGTAACATTATTAATTTTTTGCAAATTTTTCAAAGGTATTCCTTTTGAACCTCCTCTTGCTAGTATCAGACAGCAATGTCGGATGAGGTGCAATTAAACTGTAAAAGAGATTTATATATTATATATATATATATATATATATGTTTTTAATAATGTTATCTTTATGCATATAAACATAAAGAATAATAGTGTAAAAATATATATTTATTATTATATTCAATAAATTAAATCTCTATTTCAAGTTAATAATTTCATAGAATGCTGTCACATAGCAAGAGGAGGTTCAAAAGGAATACCTTTGAAAAATTTGCAAAAAATTAATAATGTTACACTCATTAGACGAAGCGTCCAAAAAATTACACCATTGCTTGAAGAGGGAAAAATCCAAGCAATATGGGTTTCAACTGACCATCATTGATTGCTAAAGAAGCCAATGAAGGTTTGCTAATTAATTATTCTTAAATTGTGAAATTGAACAAAGATTTAAAAGATTAGCTAAATAAAATAATTATCTAAATCCCTATGCCAATAATTATTCTTATAACTGCATAAATTATATTAGATTAATATTGTGTTCCAAACATACTTAATTGCAGCAGGTGCACAAGTGTTTTGGAGAGATCCAGAATATGCAACTGATGCATCTACTTCTATATCTGCAATACAAGAATTTATAAAGCATCATTTAAATGTAGATTATTTAATGTTAGTGCAATGTACTACACCCTTTCTCAAGACAGATTATATTTTAGAAGCAATATCTCAATTAACTTTTTCAAGTACCAATACCCAGTGTGTTTTCAGTGTTACTAGGTACAGAGTTAAAGTATAAATGTATTTTTATAAACATATTAATTTATTTTCAATAGCAACGGGTTATTGCTATCTGTTCTCACTGCAATTAAAATGCATAATAATTAAATAAATAATTTTCAAAATGAGTAAGAATTTTCCATCAATATGAAAATAATATGAATATTTGTATTAGGTCTTTTAAATTGCGATGGAAGGAGGAAGGTAATAAAATAACTTCAGAAAATTTTAATCCAGAGAGTAGACCTAGACGTCAAAATTGGAATGGAGAATTAATAGAGAACGGAATGTTTTATTTAGCCTCACGCAAATTGATTGAAAAGAACCTTCTACAAGATGATAGGTAATAAAAAAAAAAGATGATGAAATTTGATGATGATGATATAATAATTTTAATAATCATTCTTTTTTCCTCTAATAATAAAAATTCAGTTGCTCTGTGGTAGAAATTCCAGCAAAATATAGTTTAGAAATTGATACACCTTGGGATTTAGAACTAGCACAGAATATAGCAAAATATTTTGATGAAGAATAAATCAAAAGTGTATTATAAAAATTACTTACAACTTTAAAAAAATACAAATGATTTAATTGGTAAGTTTCTGTACTATACTTGAAAATGCTTTACATGATATAGAATCGGGCAAGCATGAAAGTACAGATTTTCCTCTATTTTCTTCAAAAGATAATCTTGGCCCAATAGGCAAGGTGCCCAAAAAAGGAGCTGATGCTAATTCAGCGAGAGCTGCACCTCCACCTGAGCTGAATATATTTGTGCATTCACTGCAATTTGGGCATTCATAACTAAAAAAGCAAATAAAATTTATAGGTGTCTACTTGCTTAACAACAATAAAATTTATAATTTACATAAGTGCAAGAATGTATAATAAAAAATAAAATAAATTTCAAATTACACAGAAAAAAATTATGTAAAAATCTATAATAATAAGGTTACATTTAATTTGTTTTGAATTTGTTATATTCGAGAGAATATAAAATTACATTTGTATATTTTTTCTACTAGTTGCATATAATTTTATTTCATATGAACCCTAAATAAATATCATCAGTTTCAATGTTAACTTTGTTTGAAAGAATAATGTGTAGATGCTTATTATTATAGCTATTCTTAGGTTTGAATTATTATTATTTCTTTATTAGGTGTATAGCTTTGCTTCCTCCAACTATTTTTTTTTAAACTTTGAGGCTTTATCATAAAGAAATGGCCACTATTTTCTCTCGTTTATATATATATATATATATAAAGACTTTAATCAATATTATTTCTCGAATTAATTTAAACTTGCAATAGAAAAAAACTAAATAGACTGATTTCTTAAGGCAAAACATGCACAACTAATGATAATCGACATGGTGATTGTTCGAATTTGTCTTCTTGTCCCGCTATTCAAAGTCTGATTGTATCTGGTTCGAGTCCAACTTTCTGCCCTGGTGAACTAAGCCATTTAGTATGTTGCCCAACATCGGAAGATGCACCAGAAACACAACCAAATTCAGAGAAAAAAGAAAATCCTTGCAAAAATCTTAGACCTCTTGGTAGTGGCGAAGACAAAGCGGAAAACAGTTAAGACAAACAATTTCAAAAATAGAAATAAATTCTAAAAATATAAATGTCATATAATCTATTTATTTGGTACCGTAAGAACATTACATTTTTAACTTTTCAGAATGTATAGAATATTCGCATTTAGTTTGCGAAAAAATCACTCTACCCACTCTAACAAATTCTGCAAAAAAGGTCCTCGTGAACCGATGTGGACACACGGTAGTACCTTTTATAGTAGGCGGAAAAAAGCTCAGAACCGCGAATTTCCGCACATGGTATATTTATATCCATGAACAATATATTAAATATATGTACAATCAATAATTTGTAAGAATATTAAGTTGTACTGATTCATTACAGGCGCGTCTTGGTTATGGCCAAGAAGACAATATAATTTGGGCATGCGGAGGTTCTTTGATCAGTGATAACTTTGTCTTAACGGCAGCTCATTGTGTTTATGACAAAAATTTGTAAGTTGAGCATAATATTATTTTTTCGTTCTCGTTTAACGAAAACTACTTTTCAGAGGTTCTGTGAATTTCGTGCAGTTGGGTGTTACAGATTTTGATTCAGGCACACCCAAAAATTTCGAATACTCTCAACTCTTCACCGTTTCAGAAAGATTGAGGCATCCAGAATATAAGCCCAATTCTAAATATTATGATGTAGGATTATTGAAATTGAATAGAATGTAAGTTTAAAATGCATTTTGAATTAGCACCACATAGCAATCAATAAAACCTTGAATTAATTTGGTAGTTTTATCATCATAACCTGAATAAAAATGACTATTTTATTTTCTATTTTTATATTCAGAGTGAACTTAAACAAGCAAGTAATACCAATCTGTTTGCCAAAAAATAATGAAATTACTAATAAAAAGCTATAGCAACTGGCTGGGGCCATACGCAGCACGAAGGTAATGCTAGCGAGGTCCTGAGGAAGGTACTTCTAATATTTTCTTTATATTGTTATTTTACTTTAAGAAAATAGTCTCGGAACAACGGCAATATTAACTGATTATATAAATAAATTGTATATGTCAAGTAAGTCCACTCGCATACAACATCATATTTGTTCATCAACAGTATGTCTGAAAATTTTTTTTTTATCATACTTACAATTGTAAGCATGATAAAAAAAAAATTTTTCAGAACATTCTAATTCTACCTAAATAAAACATATAAAGGCCAAAGTTAAGAATTGAGAAGTTAAAAATGATTGAAAACAATATTAAATGGTACCTTCAAAATTATTATCTTTTGTGGAAATTAAACTTAGGTTGGGGTTAGTTATTTTGTTTTTTAAAAAAGTGAGTCTATTGTTTGTGACGGATTTTATAAGATGTGGGGGATAGGAATTTTGTGTAAGATGACGTAGAATTTTACGTCGAAACGTATGGAAATATAAAGATGTCTTGAAGAAAATCTTTACTTTACTTTTTTTACTTGATGTTACGCCCTCCAAGAAATCTATCATACATTTCAACATCAAATTTAAACATTTTCAACATATATATATATATATCTATATATATATAAATCTCGTGTCACGATGTTGGTTCGCGATGGACGCCCAAACTACTGGACCGATTTTAAATTTTATTGGCTCATCGTGTGCATATATATCCAACTTAGGTTATAGGAAATTTTGAACAGTAAATTTGAAATATAAATATATAATTTCTATAAATTTCTAAAAATTTTGACAGAAAATGACCAAAAAAAAAACAAAACACTAAAATGACAAATGTCAAAATTTATGGAAAATTCGAGAACAAAAGATTAATGATTTTTGAAAAAAAAAATTGACAGTTCAAAAACATATACATATATAGATATATCCAACATTTATATCCAAATTAGATGAAAAGCTACATTCAAAATCACTGTTTATAATTTTAAATCTAATTAAAAATCAATGTTCATAAATTTAAATAAAAGTTATTAAAAAAATGTGAAATGACATTTGTCAATATTTATAAAAATTATTAGATAAATAGATTTATAATTTATATTTATTTGATTTGCTTACGAAGTTAGTTCGGATACCAAAACTTCCTCAAAACCACTCAAAACATTATAGATCACAATAAAAAAACGACATATTAAATTAATCATTAATAATAAACAAAATTTTGACAGTTCAGAAAAATTGAATTTTTAACGACTTCAATAAAAAACAAATACATTAATTATTCCAAGTTTTGTTATAGGTAATATTGTAGATACAAAACATTATTGAAAAATATATTATATCATATTATATTAAATTTCGACCAAGAAGGAAATATTTATTTAGTTTTATATTATTTATAAATTTCCATAAATTTTGACAGAAATTCACTAAAAAAAAACAAAACACTAAAATGACAAATGTCAATATTTATGGAAACTTCGAGAAAAAACGATTTATGATTTTTGAAAAAAAAAATGACAATTCTAAAAATATATTATTTTTACTAATTGAAAAAGGGACAGATATAATATAATATATACAACAGTTATATCCAAATTAGGCAAAATGCTATATTCAAAATAATAGAAATATATAATGTTTATAGATTTAAATAAATTTTGATAGTTGTAAACTAAAAAAAGTGAAATGTCAATTATCCATATCTATGGAAAGTATTAGATGAATAAATTTATAATTTATATTTATTTGGTTTGCTCAACATATTAGTTCGGATACTAACACGTCCTCAAAACATAATAGATCAGAATGAAAAAGCGACATATTAAATTTAACTTTAATCATAAACAAAATTTTGACAGGTCAAAAGAATTAATATTTTTAACGAATTCCAATAGGCACAAATACATTAATTATTGCAACTTAGGCAATATCACAAATCACATTTAAGATACAGAATAATAAAATTTATCAAATTTAAATAAATTTGGGCGGTTACGAATTTTAAATAAATGCCGAAAATGACGTTTGTTAATATTCCGGGAAATTTATGAATAAATTGATTTATGATTAAGATTTAATTTGCTTAAGTTGTTCATTCAGATAAACATCACAAAATTAATAGAAATCATGATTGAAAACTGAATATTATATCATATCATATTAAATTTCGAAGTGCCAAAAATCAAACATTTAATAGATTTGGACTCGAATTCCTCAGAACTTTTTCCATGTTAGTTTCGGGGATAGTATGAATATGAATGTATAGTCGGAAATTTATATTATAAGTGTTTCGTAAGTAATAACAAATTTAAAAAAATGCATTGAAATCCGATGAGTGTCTAATCATAAATTTATGGAAAATTTTCAAAAAAAATATTAAAGGATTATAGCAAGTTCCCAATAGTATGTGACCAATAGTATGTGAAACCATTCCTAAATAAAGCATCGTAGAACATGTTAAAATGTTAGCTGAAGGTAAATAGAACGTAATACCAAATAAGATATAACAAATTTATAAAAATCACTTGGTTATTCATTATACATTTTGTAATGTACTCATTTATTCAAATGTTTAATAATCCGGATTTTATTTATTTTTGGATTGATATAAATTTTTTATAACAAAAGGTTTGAAATTTGGTTGTCAAACGGATTCAAATTTCAATCAGATGGATTTTAATAAGGGCCGTTGCAACGCAAGGCTGGGTATGCTAGTATATATATATATATATATATATATATATATATATATATATATATATATATACATATGTTCATACATATATAGTGTTATTTTAAAATGTAATGCTTAAAACTCATGTTAAAAAAAATTAAAACAATTATTACCGTCTCATTTTTCATTGAGATATCATACATGGCTAATATTTGGACAATTTTTAATTGTGTGTCCTTCCTGTCGACATTGGCCACATTTTCTTTTTGAAGTGGGTTTTGTACCAGTTGCCTTAGAAGTTGTTTTTCTCTTTGAAACTGTAGTTGAAGTCTTTCTTGACTTTGAAGGTTTACTTGACCAGTTGTTAGCTATAATAAAATTTACATAGCATATATGTTTGTATATCTCTATATCTTAAACTATATATACTTTTAATTATTTTAGTGCTTACTTGATTCATTGCTATCATGCTCAGGTTCATCTTCTGCCCACTCAAAGAACTTACACTGTTGTTCCATAGGTTTGGGACATACATAAAATTTTCTGCCTTTGTTTGGACCCTCTTTTTTACAGTCTGTCTAAAAAATATCAAACAACAATCCTCAGTATAAAATATGCAGGAGTATATCATGATTGTAAAATTTTTTTTCTTACTTTCTAGCTGGTTCTTGGCAGCCACTGCATAAAACCTCTTTTTCATCATTTTGCTTTCTATTAGAATGTTTAGTTTGATGCCAGCCGGAACTGTTCCCTCCATATGTTTGTTTCTGATTAGTTGAAAAGTCTTTATTTTCCGTTTGTGCCCTTAGACTTTTATAATTACGAGTAAATTTGGTGCTGCTGTAATTTGAGTTGCTATTATCGTTCTGTTGTATGCTGCTGTCAACAATACCATTTTCATTAAAGTTATCGTCCCAATCCATATCTGAAAAAAAAATCTAGTAAATTTTAAATTTTAGAATTAAAAATTGAAAAAAAAAAAACAGGAAAGTAATACACAGGAAAATAATATAAAAAATAGTATGATACTTGTAGAAGTTATTAATAATATTTCAACAAAATTAACACACTATCGGCGGGCCCCGTAAAATTACGCTCTGCGAGGACTGTTGCTTATCGGCGGGCAAGGTATTATTACGCTTTGAATAGACTAACTTTAAAAGTGAGTCAAAATACTTTTATCTGATCGGTTTGCATATGATATTGAAAGAATAGCTGATACTTTTCTCTAGATTCAATTGATTTACGTATTGAAAGACTTTTAGAACAAGAATAAGGATAAGAAACAATATGTTTTATCTTCAAGTTTCTTTTCATTCAAGCTACTCGCAATTTGTTTTGTAGATAAATATGCAGAATTTACAACAATAAAAAGGTGTTCAATATATACTTTATCAAATATTTTAGTTATTTGTCAGATTTGTATAGTTCAAATCTTTTTTACATTGTTATTTGCAATAATGAAATAATGGCATCGGATAGCGATAGTAAAGTTTGCGTCAATAATTTATCACAAATTGGAAGTGATTTTTATATTACTGATTTTGGTAGTGTATGTGGATGAAGATTTTTCTCATCCTAGAAGACGTAGAGTTTTACCGATTATATCCAGAGATTCTGGAAATAATGACAATGAAGAAGTGGAGTGGTCAGAATTTGACAATCCTCCAATTATTGAATCATTTTTAGGTCAAAGTTGCGTTGTTTTGAAACCAAATAGTTTAATTGAAGTGGTTCAGCTATTTTTGCTATCCGGGTCCCAGCACCTCTTCATAAGGGGTGATTTTTTCCATAAATTTCACGTATGTAAAAATTGGTTTATATATCTACTGTACGTTAATTTTTTAACTTTCCGTAGGTTAGTTATAACTAACCTATATATAGTAATGGGCGGAAAATCAAGAATGAAAAATTTTCCATTTTTCTACGGTTTTTAGGTTTCTGAACATTTTGGCATACCTCATTAAAAATGGATGTGTCTGTGTGTGTGCGTGTGTTTTTGGTGGCCGCATTTTTTCGTTCACGTTTTCGGGCGCACGGACCAACCGATTTGAATGGTTCAAAAAACATTCGATTCCTATTGATAGGGAGATGTGCTCATTAGTTTTTGGCAATCGCAGGTCTAGCCGTTACGGAGATACAGAGCAAAAAGTGCAGAAAATAGAAATCGAGTTTTTGAGAGAACGGAGCATCCGATTTGAATGATCTAAAAAACATTAAATTAGTAATGATTGGGAGAAGTGGTGATTAGTTTTTGGCAAAGGCAGGTTCAGCCATTTCAAAGATACGGAGCTAAA